CAGCCAACGTTACGGAACAAAATTTCTGTATGCGTCATGTTATCATTTGACAATGTAAAATTCTAGACACTGATAGTGGCTTAAAACAACCCACAAAGTATAGCATGATTAGAAAGGGTTTTATATAGCTTTAGTATTGTGACGTATAGGTCCATTGCTAGGCAACGGCTCGATAAACACATTCCCGTGGAGATAGATTCTTGTTAAACAGCCCGTTGCTGGATATTGCGTACAACAATACGCTGCAATAAAGGACGTTCATTTCTAGGCAACGGAGCAGTAAACAACCCTACGAATTTTTGAGAGACGGTGTTTGTGGGATTAACACCGAGGCTGAACGAGAATAGTGCATGTCCTAGTATTTGTGAAGTGACTAGATTAGTGATAACGCTATAATTGATCGTGATTAAGAGAGATTGTAGAAGAAGGTGTTAATAAATCCAATCATCTAATCCAGAACCCGTTATTATTGGTCACGGAGCCATAATCACGTGAGAGTGTTTTGTTCTTAATGCACCGTCACTGTTTTTCTTTTGTTGCCTGCCAGACTTTCGAATTTTTGAAGTACTTAAAAGTACGTAAATACACATTTGTGCCAGGACATTGTTCAGGACACATCGTCAATTGAGGATTAGAGTGTTCTATCCTCATTTTTGTTTCGAAACCGAGACAGTGGACTTCTCGGATTCTCCGCTTTACGTTGCATTATCTCCACACACTTCCACAGGCTTACCTTAACTTCAAGTGAGAGATTTCAGGTTTAATTTCCACTTCATTTCTAAACTTCAATCTTTAAAACAAGTAGTCCTTGTGTAGAATTAATTAAGCAACATGTCATTAAGACCTGTGGGGGAGTGAAGGTATAGCTCCACCCTTTTTGTTGTCTGCATTATATGGAGGTGAGTGATTAGCTTCACTCACCAGCCGCTTTACCCCCGGGGAAACTCCACCTGCACGCGGTAGCGTAGTTGGTTGAGATACTGTGTTACAAGTCACAAGATCGTGGGTTCGAATCCCGATGGGGTGGACTTTTTTTCAATTGACCTAATCCTTCCAGCCGCACTATGGTCCTGGGGTCAACTCAGCCTCTAACAGAAATGAGTACCCGGAGTACTGGGAGTACTGGTGGTAAAGGGCGGCCAGCTGGCGCGTAAGGCTGAGAATCTTACCGCCATCTGTGAGCCGATTGTCTCGAAAATGTGGGAGCCTCGACGTCTCACAACCCTATGGGCCTCCACGTCCTGTTACAGGGATAGCTTTAACTTTTTTTACACATTGGTTAGGAGGTTGTGTGGACACCAGAGTCGGTCTGGACGCTGTGGAGAAAAGAAAATACTTTCTCATGCGAGGAGTCGAACCCCGGCTTTCCAGCCTGTATCCCTTCGCTATAACAACTCGATTATCCTGGCTCTCAATTTCAAACCTTATTTCTTGAAGCATGCTGCTGATGGATATAGCGCACTCCAGGTCTCAACTGATGAAATGTACGCAGAAAATTACACCCTGCAGTGATTGCTAACGCAGTCGGTATATCGATTGGCTACGGGTTGGACGGCTGAGGGATCGGAATTCGAGTCCCGGTAGAGTTAAAGTTTTCTACTCTACTGTCCATGTCGTCCAGACTGGCTGTGGGGTCCACCCAGTCTCATATCCAATGGATATCGGAGGTTAAGCGGCCGGGGCAGGAAGCTGACCACTCACTTCCAAACAGTGCTGAGGTCAAGAAAATGTGCATGTATACATCCTCCCTGTTATGTCTTGATGAAACAGCACATGGACACTGTTATTGGTTGTTCTGACTGAGTGATGGGAAGTTCGCCGTGTTGAAGTAAAGACATCTTGTGGTGTGGTCCACAAATGGGTCATTCTCATCAACGCACCGGCGGTGCAGGGCCACTGGGGTGGGAATTACTGCGTCTGCTCGCTTTCTGTGGTGTTGCCCTTGCACCGCGACCTAGAGTGATCTACTGTGCTTTTGAAGTGTTAGACTCTAGCTAATGACGTCTTGCGGAAAACTACCTGTGAAAACATTTTTAATTATCCAGGAGGATCCTGTTTTAATTTATACTGTTTCAAGGCATGTATGAAGCAGGGTGAGTTACTGGTACTGAATGAAGCTGTACTCTTGCTTCGTATCCAGGAGGACCCAGTTTCAAATCTGGACACAAAAATCCGCTGTACTACCGCGTTATTTTTGTAATTTCCTTCAGCCCCTTCATTTCTTCAGATTAGGTCACGGCTTCTCCCTTCCACACCCTTTGGATTTGTGATTCACTGATCATCCCATCAGATGATCACTGGGATCGTGGGATCGAATCCCGACCGAAGAATTGATGTCGGTTTGTGTATATTATGTGTTTGTGTTAGGTAGCGGCATTGCTACGGGCTGATCCCCCGCCAAAGGAGTCCTATCGACTGTGTATATTTTAAGAAACTGAAGTGAACGAAGCGTTTTATGGTCGCCCTCTGCTCCAAGTGGAAGCAACAGGAGTAGAAAGAGAAGAATAAGAAGAAGAAGGAGGAGGAGGAGATAATCCTATCATTTCAGCCTATATAATCTGATATATTAAAACCATCGTGAAATGAACAATAGATAAATAATTATATAAGCAATATTAGTATCATAGTTTACATAGAATGCAACCCAACCTGAACATATACTGGTAAAAGAATGGATGAAAATTTTATTAGGTCTGTTGTGGCCTACAGTTAGGAATGCCGCAGTCTGACTCCTGGTTCTACATTCAAATTACTGTCCCTGTAGTATATACCTCATCTATTATACATTAGGGTGGTAATTATAATTACCATATCATCTGCTTCTCTTCCTTTGAAGTGGAGGCCCTGAGGCCTCATTAAAAATCAATCTGACAATATGTATTTTACAGATATTTCATAGGACTACCACTCCTAAGGCCGCTAATTACAGAGGGCAATACGAACACAGAGACGAATGGGATTCGAACCCAAAATTGCAGTGTTCGAAACTGTGGAGACAGTCCTTCACACAGCCACTGTGATCGGCTTATCCTACCACGTATTTCTATTCCTTTGAAAAAATAATTATCTATCCCTTTCGTCCCCATGCATGCTACATGCCCTGTTAAACGCACCTTCCTTGGCCTATTATTCTGATTATACTTGGAGAAGAGTACAAGTTATGAAGCTCCTCATTATGCAGTTTTCTCCAACCTCCTGTCACTTCATCTCTCTTCGGTCCAAATATTCTCCTCAACACCCTGTTCTCAGACACCCTCAGTCTGTGTTCCTCCCTTAAAGTAGGAGACTAGGTTCCACACCCATACAGAACCACAGGCAAAATTATAGTTTTGTATATTCTTATTTTTATTTTTTTAGACAGCAGACGAGAAGACAAAACTAAAAAACTTAAAACCCTCCGGATTTGTATTTTCTGTATCTTACTCACAGCGAAGTAATGTACTGCACTGCGACAACCTGGCGCAGATGCCTGATGATATCCTCCTCCGGTCGAAATATTTTGTAAAATATTCATGGAAACTAGATTAATTGGATTTTAACCAATAATTTGCAAAAAGTTTCATTCACAAAACACTATTGCGATTGCGTGTGTGTCTTGTCTATGTTCACTGTATGGATTGGATAGATCTGGCTGAGGATAGGGACAAGTGGAGGGTTCTTGTGTACACGGTAATGAACCTTCGGGTTCCATAAAATGCTGGGAAATTCTTGAGTGGCTGCATAATTGGGGGCTCTTCAAGAAGGGCTCAGCTCCATGAGTGAAATGTCTTTGTTCACTGTTTCATTTTATTCTGCCAATGCGCCAGTCCTTCATATGATATCGTGTCATACAGCGTCACTATTCTGGTGTATCCAGTCTCGATTGTTTTTCTGTTCTCTTTATGTCTCTTGCTTTAGCTGTCCATTATACAGTTCCATGTCACAAAATTGGTAGCGCTAGTATTTCTTGCGTGATGTCATAAATTGCTGTCGTATTTCATTCTTGTTGCACTGAAATATTTCCTTTGGCACATTTATTAACTCCGGCAATTTATCTTCTTCCTTTACAGTATGAAAGCACCGAACAGGTTGGTCTAGAGATAAGGCTCTAAATTTATATTCGAGTTGTATTCGGTTCCAATACTAACTGAGACACCAGCCGTCCTGACCGAGGGCTTTCGTGGTATTCTTCAGTCCCTCCTCGAAAATTATTTCCTATTTATCAGTCATTCAACCAACCGACACCACGTAAGATCGATATTCCAAGCGTCACTGTAATTAATTTTTTTAGTTTCTTGGGGTGGGGTGGGACAGTGCACTTGGTACGTCGGCCACTACTGGCCTAGTACACCAGTCCTAGTTGATAAATTATGAGTGTGGAGCAGTCGGAGGAATGAGAATTGGCAGGAGAAACTGGAGTTCTCGAAGAAACCCTGCCCCAGTGCCACTTTATCCACCATAAATCCCATATGACCTGACCAGGGCTCGAAACCGGGCCGCAGCGGTGGGAAGTCAGTGACTAACCGCCTGAGTTATGGCACGGCCAAACGTCGAAATATAACTAACCAACTCCATAGAGCTGAGCCTTTCTTGAGAAGCCGCCAGTTGCGCAGTTATTCAAGAGCTTCCCAAAATTATATGGAACCCGAAAATTTATTACCGTGTTCATAAGAGCCCTTCACTGGTCCTTATCCTGATCCAGATGAATCTAGCCCATAGCACCCCATTTTATTTCTCTAAGCTCCATTGTAATATTATCCAGCCACCTACGTCTTGGTCTTCTTGTGGTCTCTTTCCTTCTGACATTCCCACCAAAAACCTATATGAGTTCATCTTTTCCCCATTCGTGCTATATGTTCCTCCCATCTGATCCTCCTTGATTTAATCATTCTAATTTTACTTGGTGAAGACTGAAAAAAAAAGTATTCTTACACCAATATAAATATCGGGAGGGGATTGTCTTATTGTTCTTTACAAATGCAAGTTAAAGTGTCCTTTTCCTTCTTTTGTGTTCCCTGCAGCGCCAGCCCCTCCAAATTGTGCGCAAAACTGGTGATTGCCGGTATCTGGGTGATTTCCGGAGGGCTGGCTGCACCCATGGCAGTAGCGCTTCGAGTGACGATGGTAGACTCACCACACGGTCACCAGAAGCCGTTCTGCCACAACGTGAAGCTCTCGGAGGAAGCAATGTTGTCATACCGCGTGATCCTGGTGGTCCTGCAGTATCTGACGCCACTGTGCATCATCTCCTGTGTCTACATCCGCATGGCGCTCGCCCTCTGGGGGTCCAAGGCACCGGGCAACGCCCAGAGCTCGAGGGACGCAACACTCATGAAGAACAAGATGAAGGTGAGTGAGGCTACAGAGCCGGGATAGCTCACTTGGTTTAGCGAATACGGGCTGGACGACCGAGGGATCGGGCTGTAGCAAGCAATAGCAAGAGCTATTTCTGTTATTCATATCTTCAAGACCTGCTCCTGGGTTCACCCAACTTCATATGCAGTGGGTATCAAGGGCTGCTTCCCTGGGATTGACACGGCAGGATGTGTGATACTGTAACCACTCACCTCCATCTAGTGTCGAGGTCAGTAATTGTGGAGCTATACCTTCACTCCCCTACATATCTTCAGGACGTAGTGCTTAATTAAGTACAGGGATAAATCATATCATTTTACTATACTAAAGCCACGGAAAGAAGTTTCATGGATGGTGGGGATGATGGAACTCGAGTTTCTCCCCTCTCTTCTTACTGTTGTGTTCTCTCCTCCAACTAGCTCTGGTTTGTCATTCAGTACAAAGCGCCTGCTAGGAATAAATATACCTCGAAGAAGAAGAAGAAGAAGACATATTCCCCCTCTCCCATTCTTACACAGTCACTCAGCTCATACCCTCGGTATTAACTTTACATGCTGGTCACGGTAGCCGCGCGGTCTAAGGTATGTACTGTTTTCGCTCGCTCTTAAGCCGGGATCGTGGGTTCGAATCCCACACAAGGCATGGATGTTTGGTATGTACGAGTATATGTGTTTATTCTGTGTTTGTGATGTCCTGTGTTAGGTAGCGGCCTTGCGGCGAGCTGATCACTCGTTCAAGGAGTCCTATCATCTGTAAAATGATCACGAAAAGCAAGGGCTTAAGGAGGCTGAAGAGTCCGTGAAAAATTTTAACATTACCTGGCAGTCCGGATGTCTAGAAAGTCCATATCCTTTCTTTACGCTAACGTGGCAACATAATTCATTCCCTCGGTAACCTGAAATACTGTGATTTCAAAGCTTTTTAGGAGTATATCTCCGTTACGGGTAAAAAAGGCAAGTTTGTCCCCGTGCTTAATTAATTAATGTATAGATCCATATTTTCTTGACCTCGACACTACATGGAAGCGAGTGGTAAGTTTCACGTCCTGGCCGCTTTGTCCCCTGGGAAAGATCCCCCGGTACCCTTTGGAGAGGAGTCAGGTTGGGCCACAGAATCGGTATGGACACTGTGGAGAAGAGAAAAATCAAGCGTTCCTCCAGGGATTCGAACCCCGGCTGTCCAGTCCGCAGCTCTGTGTCTCCGTTACATTTTTTTATCGCTAGTGGGGTGCGACTAAGTGCCTTGTACTGCGGCCAATTCTGGTCTATTGTACCAGCCCCAGATGATAAGTGAGGGTGATTGTGGAGCAACTGGTGGAATGAAGATTGGCAGGGAAAACCGTAGTACTCGGATAAAAACCTGCCCCAGCACCACTTTGTCCGCTACAAATCCCACTTGACCAGACCAGGGATCGAACCCGGGCCGCCGCGGTGGGAAGCCAGCGACTAACCGCTTGAGCTATGGCGTGACCCCTCCGTTATATATATATATATAAATTATTATATTAGTCTTACCTCTCCTGCATCTCCCTCTCTAATGGCCAGAGGGTTCTTTGGGCTACTCGCTGTTGTTAACGTCGTCTCGATAAGATTAACGGACAGTTGTGTAAAATATATCGCAGGGCTGAGTTTTGTTTTTTCTTGGTTGACAGGTCATCAAGATGCTTGTGATTGTGGTCGCTCTCTTCGCCCTTTGCTGGCTGCCTCTGCAGACTTACAACGTTCTTCATAATATTTTCCCCGAGATAAACGGGTAAGCATCTGAAAACGGTTTTACCTACCTACCTACCTACCTACCTACCTACCACCTATCTACCTACCTACTACCTACCTACCTACCACCTATCTACCTACCACCTATCTACCTACCTACCACCTATCTACCTACATACTACCTACGTACCTACTTACTACTACCTATCCACCTACCTACTACCTACCTACCTACCTACCACTCTGCGCTACAGCCCTGGGCGAGCCTTGGCTTCCTCTATAACCAGTCTCCACTGCTCTCTATTCCTCATCTTCTCTATCCTATAACTGTACCTCCTTTCTCGTGTCACTCACTCGCCCCTTACGTTTGGCGCCACTTTGTAGATGTTCGTCCATCACTCAGTTACACCTCAAGCCCAACACGTTGGTCGACACTTTGTAATACCTCTTTCGCTGAACTAATAAGTATCTCAGGTTTTTTTTTTATTTTACAAGGAGGTGAGGTTTGTTGTATTCGGTAGAGCTGAGGGTCTCTTTTTCCTCAGAGCCTTTAACGGGCCTCAACTCCGACAAGCAGAAATTGAAATCAAAGCTACACAAGCACATATCAAGTTTAACTGGTTTATTATTACTGAACACTTATATTGAGCCACTTTTTAATACAAACTCCTTAATTAGTAAATTTAGCTCATTAGTCGGCACACACACACATATCAAGTTTGACTGATTTATTTTTAAACATTTATGCCCTTTGCTGCACAATCTAATTTTTCTTGCAACTTGTTTAACTTTGTATTTATATTTCTTTGATGCACAACACTTTTGCTTGTAGTCTTGCTATTTATAACTTTCAACTGACTGACACAAGTTTTGCTTCTGTATTCAAAGAGAGCAGGTGTGTGACTAACACTAATTTTGCTTCTGTTCTCTGCAAGAGCCGGTGTGTGATTAACACTAATTTTGCTTCTGATCTCTACAAGAGCCGCTGTGTGACTGACACTAATTTTGCTTCTGATCTCTGCAAGGGCCGGCGTGTGACTAACACAAGTTTTGCTTCTGTTCTCTGCAAGGGCTGTTGTGTGACTCACATAAGTTTTGCTTCTGTTCTCTGCAAGGCCCGGTGTGTAAGTAACACAAGTTTTACTTCTGATCTCTACAAGAGCCGGCGTGTGACTAACACAAGTTTTGCTTCTGATCTCTACAAGAGCCGGTGTGTGACTGACACTAATTTTGCTTCTGATCTCTGCAAGGGCCGGTGTGTGACTAACACAAGTTTTACTTCTGTTCTCTGCAAGAACCGGTGTGTGACTGACACAAGTTTTGCTTCTGTTCTCTGCAAGGGCCGGTGTGTGACTAACACAAGTTTTACTTCTGTTCTCTGCAAGGGCCGGTGTGTGACTAACACAAGTTTTGCTTCTGTTCTCTGCAAGGGCCGGTGTGTGACTAACACAAGTTTTGCTTCTGTTCTCTGCAAGGGCCGGTGTGTGACTAACACAAGTTTTACTTCTGTTCTCTGCAAGGGCCGGTGTGTGACCAACACAAGTTTTATTTCTGTTCTCTGCTAGGGCCGTGTGTGACTAACACAAGTTTTACTTCTCTTCTCTGCTAGGGCCGGTGTGTAACTAACTTCGACAACTGACTTCTTTTCAAACCGTGAGGTTCTTGGTCCATCAGCTTCTTGGTTTTGTCACACCCTTAAATTCTAGTGATTGGTCACTTTTGAAAAATAGTAGTATCTTAATTAACTATTCCCTCACTCCGTTTAAGGATTACAAGGAATTTAGGCTTCTAAGACTTAACGTACATTCTGTCAGTAGCTGGACAAATGTTAAGCTTCGCTTGGGTTGAGGGAACACCCATCTTTAAGTTACGATGTTAAAAACTGTCAAGTTTCGAATTCTCAAAGACTGCAGCAATTACACTTTCGAGCTAAAATTCTCAGAAATATCCACAGGGGTTCTTCGTGTTCTACTGAAAGTGTGAGAATAAGCTGATGCATACATGCAAGGACAGGCCTACTCGTATCTCTCACTGACTCGTTCATAACCTCCAACTGTGAAACAATTACATTTCTAACTAATAAACTTAATTAAATTTAAATGGATGCATGACAGTGGTGCGGTTACAATCCATTCTTTCACCTTCATCTTCTTTAGGACGTTCTCAACTTCGTCTGGCCATCTCATCCTGGGTCTTCCCTTTTTTCTTTTGGAATATAGCCTTCCTTTTAACATTCTCTTTGGCATTGCATTATCTTCCGTTCTTTCGACATGTCCCAAGTATCCTGTTCTCTGTGACTTGACAAATCTTACAATATCTTCTCTTTCCAGTAATGTGTCTATCTCTTCATTGTAACTTATCCTGCATATATTATTTCCTATCACTGGTCCGTATATTTTGCGCATTATTTTTCTCTCGAACATTCTCAGTGCATTCTTTTCTGTTACGGTTTTACCTAACAATGGTATCGAAACTAAGGCATAACTTCTTCCTCTTCTGTATGACTTTGCCCCTCATGCTACCTACTTGTCCCTTTATATAATAAAGTAACTTCCTTTCTATATAACCGGAGCCGGGTAGCGTAGTCACTACAGCGACTAACTACTGGCCGGAGGATCAAGGGGTTGGAGTTCCATTACTTTCTCTTCTCCACTTCGTCCTGACCTGCTCTCGTGTCCATCCAACCTCCTATCCAATGGGCACACGGAAGATTTTCCCCGGGGGTAAAGCAGCTCGGACGTGAAGCTGACCCCTCACCTCCAACGAGTGCCGAGTTCAAGAAAATGTGTATCTACACATCCACTCCCCCATACGCCTTCGTGACTTAATGCATAATTAGTTAGGGGCAGGTACAACTTTACCTTACTATACAAGCTATATCCAGCCGAGTTCCTGCTCAAACATAAATTTCCGTCAGAAGTAAAGAGCGGCTCAGATAGAGATGGCTAGACGATGTAGAATATGATATACGAGAGCCGGAAGTGAAGATATGTCGAAGAGTGGATATCTATCGTAAACATGGCCTACATTTGCAGGGGAGAGCAGGGCTGAAGAGTAGGCAGTAACTAAATAAGCAAGGAAAGAAGGAATCAGTTTCTTACGTAGAATGATTTACCAAAGCAAAGTGTAAAGAAGTGGGGATCAATGGAGGATTACGGAGGAGAACGGCCTGTCGCATTTAAGGAAACGTAGATCCAAGGATTAAGTAAGTAAATATTTTTGTTATTCATAGTGAGGTGGGACTAATTCTCTTGTACTGCGGCCATTTCTGACCTATTGTACCAGCCCCAGATGAAAGGTGAGGGTGATTGTGGAGCAATTGGTGGAATGAAGATTGACAGGGGAAACCGAAGTACTCGAAGAAAACCTGCCGCAATGCCACCTTGTCCACCACAAATCCCATATTTCCTGACCCGGGCTCGAAACCGGGCTGCCGCGGTGGGAGGTCAGCGACTAACCGCTTGAGCTATGACACGGGCAAGTAAGTAAAAGTAAAGGTATCCCTGTAGCAGGCCGTGGAGGCCCATAGGATTGTGAGATGTTGAGGTTCCCACATTTGTTCTAGACAATCGGCTCGCAGATGGCGGTAAGGTTGTCAGCCTTACGTGCCGGCCGCCCTTTACCACCAAGAATATTCCCGGTACTCATTTCTGTTAGAGGCTGAGCCGATTCCAGGGCCCAAGTGCGGCTGGCGGGGTTAGGTAAATTGAAGAAATCCACCTCATCGGGTTTCGATCCCGCGACATTCCGGCTTGTACGAGAGTAAGTCAATAAGAATTTACAAATGGATATAGAACTTAAACAAATAAGAGTACTGATTTGAAAAATGCTTTTATTTCTCAACATAATCTCCCTGTACATTGAGGCACTTGTCCCATTGTTTCAAAAGCCCCTGAAAACCAGCAGCATAAAATTTTTGGGCTGCTGTTGGAACCAGGCGGTGACTTCCCTTTCTACAGCTTCATCGTCGGGAAAATGTTCAGCCGAAAGATGATGTTTAAGAGGGCCGAACAAATGGAAGTCGCTTGGAGCAAGACTCATCATCTGTGACAATTCGGGCTAGCATATCGTTTCCTTCATCGTGGTAGCGATTGAGATGTTGTAATGCCAGACCCATTCTTTGCATTTTGTGTTGTGGGGTCAACATGCGAGGCACCCATCGTGCACAGACTTTGTGAAAACCTAACCTGTCATGCATTATGAAGTAGGCCATGCCGTGTGAACACGCCCGGTTCCGACAGCAGCCCAAAGAATTTTATGCTGCTGGTTTACAGGGGCTTGTGAAACGATGGGACAAGTGCCTCAATGTACAGGGAGATTATGTTGAGAAATAAAAGCATTTTTCAAATCAGTACTCTTATTTGTTTAAGTTCTATATCCATTTGTAACCTACTTATTGACTTACGTAGCCTACCTCAGCCAACTACGCTACCTATGCCCCAAGTAAGTAAGTGAACTGAAAGACCGCAAGATATGATAATGCGTCACATGGTTAGGGATACCGAATACCTCAAGGGACGGTGATAGATGAGTATGAAGCAATGGTGGAATTAAGATTATTATGCGTAAATCCGAAAAAGAAAACTTGATTTCATCTCATACTCATTGTAGAGCATATTTTTATCGGTATATTGGGAAATATGTGTTCTTTATGTTGCTCGTAGGTTACAGGTTCAGTACAGCCTATCAGGGGCTTTGTATTGCGAATGAATGTTTTCTGATATGCGTAGTTGAGATCAGTCGTGGCAGGACTCATCTTGAATTCCTTGTGTTCCTTGCAGGTACCGTTATATCAACATCATCTGGTTCTGCTGCGATTGGCTGGCAATGAGTAACAGCTGCTACAATCCATTCATTTACGGCATTTACAACGTAAGTAACAAATCTTTCTTTCTAGTTTGTTTCTCTTTGTTTTCCGACATGCAACGCATAATGAGGTAAAGGGTAAAAAGGTAAAGCTATTCCTTTAACCGGCCACGGAACCCTATAGCGTTGTAAGACGTCGAGGTTCCCATATTTTCTAGACAGTCGGCTCACAGATGTCGGTGAAGTTGTCAGTCTTATGCGCCGGCCACACTTTAATCCCCAGGAAGATCCCTGATACTTATTTCTGTTAGAGACTGAGTCGACCCCGGGGCCATAGTGCGGCTGGAAGGATTAGGTTAACAGAAAAATCCAATAATCTCCTCGGGAACCGAACCGAGACCTTCCGGCTTGTAACATAGTGCCTCAACCAACCTCGTTACCGCGTGCCATCCTGATTATATCTAGCTACTTTTATTCCATCTTGAATACTTAGTATTTGATCAGAAAGTTATTCTCGCGTGGCGAGCCTGCCTAAAATTTTTCCGTTCTTCTAAAGCGTCAAAGCTTCTGCGTGCTGAATATTTGATGCGAGGAATATCAAGCACCATGACACACCTGACATGTATTTTCTAAAGCGTCTGTTATTTAGAAGCTATTTGTCGCCTATGCTACCATTCAGTCCAGAACCTTTTGTCTTCTCGTCTGTTGTCCAAAAACATAAAAATTAGAATATACAAAACTATAATTTTGCCTGTGGTTCTGTCTGTATGGGTGTAAAACTTGGTCTCTGACATTAAGGGAGGCACATAAACTGAGGGTGTTTGAGAACAGGGTGTTGAGGAGAATATTTGGACCGAAGAGAGATGAAGTGACAGGAGGTTGGAGAAAACTGCATAATGAGGAGCTTCATAACTTGTACTCTTCTCCAAGTATAATTAGAATGATCAAGTCAAGGAGAATGAAGTGGGCAGGTCATGTAGCACGAATGGGGGAGACGAGGAATGAGTATAGGATATTGATGGGAAAGCAAGAAGGAAAGAACCACTGGGAAGACCAAGGCATAGGTGGGTGGACAATATTAGAATGAATGTTAGAGAAATAGGATGGGATGGATTGATCTGGTTCAGGATAGGGACCAGTGGAGGGCTCTTGAGAACACGGTGATGAACCTTCGGGTTCCATAAAATGCTGGGAAATTCTTGAGTAGCTGTAGAATTGGCGGCTCCTCAAGAAAGGCTCAGCTCCATGAGTAAGGAAGTACGTAAGTAAGTAAGTAAGGCTACTTCTGCAGTAATTGTGAAGGCATTTACTAACCTTCATGTTAACGCTGAAAAACGTATCAGAGAAAGCAATATATAGCTACGGCTTTCAGTGTCTGTGGTGTTCTTAATGTATCAGTACCACTGTATTAGCATTCGCTTATTGTGTGGTAGTGCTGCTACCTGTTTCGACCCTGTCGGGCCATCATCGCGCAATCCTTACACGAATATGTCACCCGTTATCAGATTCTTCACAGATGTGGATCAAGATCAGTGATTTATAATTTCTCTTTCGGTTTGCTTATAATTTCAATTACAAAAATTTAAATTATATAAAAATATATATATATATTTCTTTAAAAATGAAATTCCGATTAACAAAAAACCTTAAAAATTTTCGATTCTTCTAATTACTTTTTGTGGCGTGATGGTGTATGTCTTATAGTATGGGAAAACTTTAGAAACGTTTCGGTCTATATTGCAGACGCCATCGTCGGGGTGAATTTAAATGTGAATAGGGAAATACCCTAAATTGGCATAGAGGACGGATTTCTCGCCCGATCAATGTTGTCTTGATTTTCTACCCAGGTTAAGACTTTTGATAACACTGTATCATATAGAGAGATACTTGCTATTCCCCTCTACTAAGAGGGGACGTCCTCCACATACAGACCAAGCAACTCGGCTCAGATGATAGCTTTTCTGACTTTTATTCCAAAGATTGTTGGTTCGAATCTCTACCGGGATACCGATTATCCTAAGTTATTTTATGGTATTCCTCAATTCATTCCAGATAGTGCCTGGGTAGAACCTCGATTAAGTCACGATTGCTTGTGCCCTTCCGAGCCCTTCATCATTATGTAATCCTTCTATCCGTGTCGTTTCCTATTCACTGACATTTAAAGCTATGTTACGTATTTCATTACTGTTACTGTTTAGTGCATAGTGTGCTTATTTTTTATTAATATTAATTTATATAATTGTAGTTGTAATTGTATTTGTTGTAGTTGTAAGTGTATTTTCATTGTATTCATTGTGCGTAGTGTGTCATTTATTTTTTTGTAGTTTCGTGGGCTGTGTTTTTTTAGTGTGGTGATTTATTCTGTGTGATGTACGTGGTATGTTATTTGTGTGTCGTGTTTTATTGTAGTACCATTGCCACTGGGTAAAACCCAATTTTCAGCTAAAGTAAATGATTATAATTATATTTTGAGCTAGTGACAACGTCTGTCTGTGGTCTGTTTATTGAATTGTTTCTGGTCCTCGCCAGCACAGTCATTATTTGTTTCGAATCCCACGGGATTAATGACTATATTCGACTATGTCTCACGGCTCTAGTAGTCGGTCAGCGTTCTGACAGCGTCGGTGAATATACCTACAATAAATTGATATCACCATATGTGGTTATGATACAAAAGATATTTTCAATGTAGTTCAGAATCTTATTGCATAAGATATATAAATATCGGCATCCATCTTAGTGAAATGTTGCTGTCAGTACGGTTACCTCTGCTGAATTTGCAATTAAATAAGATTAAACATCTGAAATCCGAAAATCACGTACATACTAACAAAATTGGAACTCCTGTCTTGCAGAAAACACTGATTCTTAGCTGCAAACACCGATATGTTAAGGCTATATTTGAAAGTAAACGCTAAATGCACTGTGGGGAAAATGAAGAATGATTTTATTGCTGAAACAAGTGGTACATATAATAATTGTGCTTTCAATTGTTAAATTTGTAGTGAGAAAAGATTTGTATCAGCCATGATCACTTTGGAGATCCACATACGAGTAGCCTTCATCTATATTTTTTCCATTCAGTCTGAGAAGAAATTTGCGATTATAATAGAAATTAAATCAAAAATATAATTTTAGAAACTTCATGTAAATACAGAATATTCCAAAATTAGTTTAACCGATATTATACTCACGTTCTAGAGAGAAAAAAAAATACGACAAAATGTAAATGAGTAAACATAGCAATATCACAACAGCTGATAGAAACAAGCGCTTACAAATTTCCGTTTGTTGCAAAATAAAAATTTGAATGAAAATGAAAATAATCAAAACTAAACTTTTCACTGACTTGGTAAAATGACTTTTGGGACACCCGGTTAATTTCTTAATTTATGGAGTGATATATATATATGCTTATAAAACGATAGAAATGGAGGCAGACGTCGTACTCTTGGGTTCAGATAGCCTTTTATTTTTAACGAAGCAATTTAGGCTGCCTTAATGCATCATGACTATCGCATAAAAGAGCGATACACACGGCAGAGGAGCGAGTTCTCGAAAACTGCGTTGAAATATACGTAATTTACTTTAAGACATTTGTTGGCCAGTCCTCTGATACGGTGGGTTTTATCTTATTCTGAACTGCTTGTACATATGTCTCCCAGAATATTCTTATTTCAGTTCTCCGTCTTGATATTATCCTTATCAGAATAATGGGCCTGTTTTATTTCGTGGACTCTATCTTTTGCACTTGACTCTGTTTACTCGTATTTACTCGTATTTCAGTAGAATTTTAATAAGTTTTATAATACGCAATAGGCACAATTTGCAGTAAACGAAGACTGTTACAGTAATTGTCTCAAAATATTGTTACAGTGACTAAAGCAAGGACAAACTGGACGTAGCGTGTAACATGGATTAGTTGGAAAAGAAATGCATACGAAGTTCTTGTAGGGAAATCTGAAAGAAAGAGGACACTAAGAAGTCTTAGGCTGCCCCATAGCTCAAGCGGTTAGTCACTGGCTTCCCACCGCGGCGGCCCGGGTTCGATCCCGGTGGGGATTGTGGTGGACAAAGTGGCGCTGGGGAAGGTTTTCTCCGAGTACTTCGGTTTCCCCTGCCAAATTTCATTTCACCAAATTCTCCATCATAATCACCCGGGGCAGGTACAATAGGCCAATTAGTGGCCGTCTTGCCGAGTGGACCCAGTTGGACTCCACCACCCCACTAAGCGAATTAAAAAAAAAAGAGAAGGCTTAGGCGTGGATGGGAGGAACATAGGTTCATGTGAACTGGATTCAACTGGCTCAGCACAAGTACCGGCGACGGGATCTTCTGAACACGGCAAAGAGCTTTCGGGTTCCAAAAATTTCCCGGAATTTCTTTAGTGGATGAGAGACCATTAGCTACTCAAGAAGGAATATGATTCATGAAGTTGATAGGAATTTTCTATAATGTTATTTTACGCTGTGGAAGTTGGGTATATTCTTCTGTGCAAAATAAAATAGATTAAATTAGCTTAATTATTTTATAAATAATTGCTAATTCTTATTGAAAATATATTCTTAATTTATATAAAACGCAGTTTCCATCTTTCTTCTTATTATTCGATTCCCGATGAGATAATTAGATTTTTCAATTGACCTAATCCTTCCGGCCTATGTCCCTGGGGTCGACTCAGCCTCTAACAGAAATGAGTACCAGGAATCTTCCTGTGGGTAAAGGGCGGCCGGCGCGTAAGGCTGACAACCTCACCGCCATCTGTGAGCCGATTGTCTAGAAAATGTGGTAGCCTCGACGTCTCGCAACCCTATAGGCCTACATGGTCTGTTACAGGGATTCTTTTTTATTGCTAGTGGGGTGGGACTAAGTCCCTTGTACTGCGGCGACTTCTAGCCTATTGTATCAGCCCCAGATGATAGGTGAGGGTGATTGTGGAGCAATGGGTGGAATGAAGATTTGTAGGGGAAACCGAAGTACTCCGAGAAAACCTGCCCCATCACCACTTTGTCCTCCACAAATTCCACTTGACCAGACCCCGGGATCGAACCCGTGCCGCCGCGGTGGGAAGCCAGCGACCAACCGCTTGAGCTATGGCGCGGCCTCCTGTCACAGGGATAGTTTTATTTCATCTCTTTTTCAACTCTTGGTCGCTTTTTAAGTTTCTTAATTTTTTACACACTCGGTAGTACTCCTTGGGTGGGGGATCAGTCTGACGCAAGGCCTCTACCTACACACAGAACAACATAAACACAGAATAAACTCATGTAGACATCCATGCCCCTAGTGTGATTCGAACCCACAATCCCAGTGTTCGAGCGGACGAAGACAGTTCATGTCAGACCGCGCGGCCACTGGGGGGACAACTTCTACCTTGCGTTTATGTGTCCTAATTGCAGTATAATTTGTTGTGTTTCAGGAGAAATTCAAACGCGAATTCCAGCTTCGGTTTGGTCTGTGTTCGCGCCGGTGTTCCGCAGCCGCCCCAGGGACGTCACTGACCCGCGATTTGAGTGAGATGGAGAAGCTAAGCTCGAGGTACGACAACTCGTTCCGCTATCACCCCACTTGCCCGCCGCCCCCGCCGCCGCCACAAGGGAGGAGGGATGCATACCGCACCCTGCTTACCCAGAATCACCGCACAAGGCCCATTTGCGCCGATGAGAAATACTGAGGCGCGTCATCACGCCTCTTCGTTATAACAGCTGATGATACGCGAAGAGGAAATAACCTGTTTCAGTTTTTGTGAATGACGTTACATAGGTTTATCGTCCTCTTCGTTCCTTATTTTAATTAACTCTTACTTGGACTTAGGTGAAAATGGAAAACAGTAATGACTATGGAATGTTTTAATTATTGGTCATATTTAATTTGCATTAAACCATGTTACAAGTCATGTAATGACCATGTGAGGTCATTGGATTTTTTTCCAATTGACTTAATCCTGCCAGCCGCACTATGGTCTTGAGGTCGATTCAGCCTCTAACAGATATGATACCAGGAATCTTCCTGGGGGGAAAAGGCGGCCGGCGCATAAGGCTGACAACTTCACCGCAATCTGTGAGTCGATTGTCAACAAAATATAGGAGCCTCGACGTCTCAGAACCCTATGGACCTTCACGGCCTGTTGCAGGGATACTGTAATTCCAATTATACTAATTGACTTCTCCCAATCTGTGACCAATCGAAATAGTCTATCAACTTAATAACCGAGGAATGTGATAATGTGCTGCCTGATCAAAGCTAAAGCAATAATGGAAAGATGATTAACAGGAGAAAACGTAAAGAAAACTAGGAGAAACAACTTATGGAGTTCCATTTCTTCCACGACGATAAAGTCATATGAAATTATCCGAGACTAAACCCATATCTGTGCTATGGCGATGCGTTCTATGTGCGCTGAAGTGCTTGCTCGTTAGTTGTGCAACCGTTTGAGAGTCGGCCTACTCGGGACATACTTCAATGCAAATGACTACCTTCTTAGACAATTACAACCTTCGTTTGCTCAGCTGAGTGTTTATATCGTATTGAGTGTTCTCTGTGCTCTTCGCTTCGAGTGGTTCTCCTGTCTTTCCTTGCTGTGATTTCAGAAGTTAAAACCTAGAGAACTGAACACTTCCTCGGCATCCGTTAGTGTGTTCTGAGAGGTTTAAGTATTTTCTGCTACTCTTATCCAAATTACGGAATATCACTGTGTACGGCTACAAAGAAGGGCAATTTGAGAAGACAAGTGATTCGAGGAAGGTTTGTTACATTTGTTGCAGGCGGTGAGAAATTCGTGACAAAGAAACTGAACCATTGTTAGTCAGATTTCTCGCAGATGAAGAACATGGGACTTCAATGTGAAAATTACTTCTTCGCATGCAAGCTACAGATCAAGTGGTTCTATTATTCCATCAGGATTTGGTGATCATAAAACTTAAGTAGCGAATTGTAATGTGTGAAAAGATACATTGAAGAGGTGTGAACAAAATGGTGAGCAGTTTCCTTCGAACAATGAATTTCACGTAACCACAATGACATCACTTCGGTACATAAAATCGAAGTGAGATTTGAGATCCTCATGGCAGAGAGTATGAAGATTATTGTCTTCTGGAATGTGGCGCAGTGTAGTCTGGTAATTTGCTACCTCCATATTCAGCTCGAAGATGGAAGTGAATAATTCCTCCGAAACATTAACAACAGTATACAGCATTATATGGCGTTATGTCGCAGAATAAAACAGTATTTATGGTATGTGATGTGTTTCAACAGCATTTTGAAACTAGGTGGAAGAAATTTGTTCGTGTCGAAAAAATACTCGTATTATTTAAAGGTACAGAAAATGTCGCTAGACTAGGAAGTACAGTAAGTTCATGTGACGAATTATATGAACGGTTTGTGTAAAAAGAACTCAGTAATTAGACTATTCCGTGAATATTGTCTGTAATATTTTATGTTATTGATGTGGTTATCAGGGTCTGTGACATGGGGTTTTGTCCATAAATTGACACATCATAAACTTCATGCCTTGCATATTACATGCATTGAAGTTTCCTATATAATATCCCGTCAGAAATCATAATAAAAATTCATATCATAAAAACATATCAGGAGCTTCATTATTTTGGTATTTATTTCGATCATTTTGTGACAAATTAGTCATATTATTACAGAAACATGTCCTTGAGTTTCTGAGTAATAGAAATCAGCCTTTTTTATGAAACTATTCCAGTTAGAATGTAAAAGACACGTGATAGTTTTAAACGCATGACTTTAATAACTAACAGTAATTAACTGAATATTGCAGGCTGATAAAGGAAGCGCGTTCTGTCCTGTGTTAATTTACGTTCTTCAGATGTATATTGCATTTGTTCCTGTGACTTAAAATGATCAAGAATCCAACACAGAACCTTACTACAATAAATTACACCTGTCTCCTTTTCTCGTCTGAGTAGTCCGTAGTTCTGTTCGTAACGAAATGTATGTTAGTGTGTCTGCAGAATTCTCTTCTTTTTTAACAGAAGGAATTTCCTGAGTCCCAGGCCTCGCCTCCCTCCGTCTGCATCCGTACCACTTTCTTTCGAGCTCAGTTTACTTTTCTGCCCTGAAGAAGGGAACAACAAAATACTCCGAAAGGTTCGTAACGTTCTAGTGGAATAAACGCCCTATTAGATAATACTATTAAATTTCACCCTATTGAGGGCCTAAAATCTTCCGTGACGTTCATATAGTTCACCAGATCCTGTAATCGGATTTGCGAATCCACCGTTATGGATCTGCTTACGACGTGTACTAGATATTTTGGTAATTAAATAGTCGATTTTTACACTCTTTTCAGTTTCCTGGAAGCAAATTATGGATTGCGAGGTCTATTTCTAAATTTTTTCTTGTGATTTCTTATTAATTTGAAAATTTCAAGTGAAATTCTACATTTGGGAAGAAGTTGAAAGGTTCTGAAACGTCTGTGATACATTTGTCAGAAATTTATGTCTGAGTAAATGGATTCATCGCTACTCAGGTTTATGAAAGACAGACGTCAGCCAAACAAATCCGGATTGATAAAATATAATTTACTATTAAAATAATATTTCTCTTGATATTTTATTCCTAATTATAAGACTGAATTATGGTAGAATGTGCGGCGCCTTGAGAGGAAACTTAGAGGCTGACTGAATGAGAGAAACACAGCTTTGCTGTGTGGAAGGGAAAGGTGGGCAGGTGGAGGAAGGAGCATGAGAAACACAACATTCAATAGAAATGCAATACTTAAGAACAGACAAATGCATCATTGGATCTACATCATATGAAGATTTTAGGAAAACATGAAAATACACGCAGTACAAAATAAAGTAAATGACAGAGACAGAAATTAATAAAACATCTGATGGGAATTACAGATGAAGGAACGCAAAAACTGATCTTGAAGTATAAAACAAAAGGATGCCGAAACCGAGGAAGACTTCGGAAAAGATGAAATGAGTACGTGAAATCAGAACAGGATTCATATCCTATACCGTGAACTGAAGAAGAAGGATGAATATTGCCGTCTTCTGGGATGTGGCGCCGTGTAGATCCTGTGTGAACCGACGTTTCGGAAGAAAACATCGCCTCCATCTTTAGGGTAGAAAAATAGGCGAGCGAGGAATAAGCTTAAGCATGTGGCTGCAGCTGGTTCCTCGCTCGCCGATTTTTCTACCCTGAAGAGGGAGGCGATATGTTCCTCCGAAACGTCGGTTAACAAAATATCTACACGACGCCACATCCCAGAATACGACATTCTTCATAGTCACCGCCATTAAAACCTCAAATCTTACACGAAGAAGAAGAAATTGGAAGAAAAGTTTATGTAAGTTAGATACGTGTATATCTACCTCTGCTTTATATGTAATTTATGCGTCGTTGCAAGAACATGATTTGTAGAAGCCCATGAACTAACTAAATGTAGTTGAACCTTTCTAGAGAAGCCGCCAGTTTCGCAGCTATTCAGGAATTTCTCAACGTTTTATGGAACCTGAAGGTTCATTACCGTGTTCAAGAGAGCCCTCCACTAATCCATATCCTGAGCCAGATTAATCCAGTCCATACAACCCCATTCTGTCTCTCTATGAGCGATGCATTTTTGTGGACTGAGAGGAGATGATAAACTAAAGAGATCAGTAGAGTCTATAACTAGGAGACTGTCTAGAAATATCTGTTTTTCAAGGAATCCAAAGGTTCATTACTTTAAGGGAGGAACATAGACTGAGGGTGTTTGAGAACAGGGTGTTGAGGAGAATATTTGGACCGAAGAGAGATGACGTGACAGGAGGCTGGAGAAAACTGCATAATGAAGAGCTTCATAACTTGTACTCTTCTCCAAGTATAATTAGAATGATCAAGTCAAAGAAGATGAGGTGGGCGGGGCATGTAGCACGAATGGGGGATAAGGGAATGCGTATAGGTTATTGGAGGGAAAGCCGGAAGGAAAGAGACCACTGGGAAGACCGAGGCGTAGGTGGGTGGACAATATTAAAATGGATCTTAGAGAGATAGAATGGGATGGTATTGATTGGATTGATCTTGCTCAGGATAGAGACAGTGGAGGGCTCTTGTGAACACGGTAATGAAACTTCGGGTTCCATAAAATGCTGTGAAGTTCTTGAGTAGCTGCATAATTGGCGGCTCCTCAAGAAGGGCTCAGCTCTATGAGTGAGTGAAGGTTCATTACCGTGTTTACAAGAGCCTATATTCTTCCGCCCGTTGTTCAGATGTACAGCATATAGCTGTAACAGAAACACCCATGCAGTGGCGTGTGTCTGTTAGTATGCAGGACGCGGTGGATACTTTTATTGCGCTGCTGCGCGTGGGTGATATTTATTGAGTGATCCGTACACTAAACCTGATTATTTGGAAGCATGCAGGTGCACTGACCGTTACTAAAGCGATTTCATTGGCAAAGCAGAGATGGTGAAATTACTGCTTCTGCGTGGGCAAATGAGAAGTAATTGCAGTTACTGTTGATTCTTGCATATTCTATCCGATTTGAACGCACACCAAATTAGATTTGCTTTAGTATTTAACAAACAAATATCCCAAAGGCAATACTAACATAATTTACGATTTAACAGACAAATGTAGCTCAGACACTAATAAAATAATTTCAGATTTATCGCATAGATATTCCAAAGACACTAATATTATAATGTAGGATTTAATAAACGGATATTTCAGAGACAATGCTAACACTAA